CCCCCTTCCACTCTCTCTGAAAAGCAATGGAAAAAATATCCTCTAGTGAGGATTAAAGAAAACAACCTTGCTACCTAATATTGCCCTAGAAGAAAGGTAGCTAGTTCTGACTATTTTAGCACTACAGAGCTAGATTTTTTTAAACCTTTTTTATTGTGAAGTATAATAAACACTATTTGAAAATACAATATAAAATTTCAATCATACAGTTTAAAAGTTATGTGACCTCATCCCTCAAGAAGTAGAATATTGCCAGCATTCTAGAAGCCCCCAATTCTATATAGCCCTTCTCAATTACAGCAGCCTTCCTCTAGTAAACCACTATCTTGAGTACTAAAGTATTTGCATTTGCTTTTCTTTATATCTTTTACCATCTAATCACACATCCCAAAACAGTAATATAATTATACCTAATTTTGAAATATAAATGTACATATATATATGGAATTGCACATTATGTATATAATTGTATCTTTTTATTTTCTTCTTTAGGTTTTATTCAGCTGTTCAGTGTATACCTAGTTTTTTGTTTTTGTTGAGTAGTGTTCCATGTGTGAATATACCACAGTTTATTTTATCATTGATCTCAGGACCTTGGGGTTGTTTAGATTTTCTTTTTTAACATTTGAAATGTTGATGTGGTAGTACAATTTAAGGTTTCATAATCCTGTCATTTTCACACAGAATATTCATTTATATATTACCTTTTAGTCTATAACAATATATAATTTTTGTGTTCATAATTATGTACGTGGCATCATCTTATGACTATTTTTATTGATTAACAAAACCTCCCTGGTGTCCTCATCACAAAGTTTATTCTTTTCCACCATCTCTCCTTATTCCCTTTTAGTTTTAAATTAATAACATTGTAATAAACATCTTTTTATATTATACCAGTTTTTCACTTTGTATTTTAACTACCTTAATGTGAGGTTATTTAGTTAGAGCCATATGTTGTTTTTAAATAAATGCTTGAACTTTATACTTAAAGGTCAAGAGATTTGTTTTGATTCCTGAGACCCTGAGTAACTATTTTTTTCTTATTGTGCCAGTGAAACCAATCCGTAACTTAAATGGACATTCAATTGGGCCATATAGAATACATGCTGGGAAAACAGTACCCATTGTGAAAGGAGGAGAGGCAACAAGAATGGAGGTATATGTGTTCTTTGTGAAGCATTTTGATTCTTTTTTCCAAACCAAAGCTATTGATGGTTGAGTACATAGCATGTTGAGCAAAATTAACTTGCCATACATATTTACCTTGACAGGATTTCGACCATATCAGTGTGCAAATTAAAGAAACACACACACAGACTTTTTCATGATCTTAGAGAGAAGAAGGGGGAGAGAGAGAAACATTGATCATTTGCCTCTCCCACACACCCTGACTGGGCATCGAACCCCCAACTTGGGTATGTGTCCTTGTCTGGGAATTGAACAGGCAACCTTTTGGTGCACGGATGATACTCAACCAAGCCACACAAGCCATGACGTTAGTGTGCAAATTTTGTCTAGTCAGGGCTCAAATCAGCTATGGAAATTGGGTATGTCAGAGGATTGTTTATTCAACGCTTAGTGGATATTTACTGAGCATCATTGATATGCCAGTCTCTTCAGTAGGCGCTAAGGATATAGTAGTGAACAAAACAAAATTCCCTGCTGTATAAAGCCTGCATTCTAATAGGAGGACACAGAAAGACCAGAAAGTGCTATGGGGGTAAAAAGCAGGGAAAGGTGGGTGACTGCCAAGAGTATTTAATGTTGTTTCTTCCATGAAGTAGGGAGTACCTCAGCCAGAAGTTAAGATATGGTAACTTTGATTAGTTCTGAATTTTTCTTGTCTCTCCACTCTAACGTATTTTTTAGGAAGGAGAAGTGTATGCCATTGAAACCTTTGGTAGCACAGGAAAAGGCGTTGTTCATGATGATATGGAATGTTCACATTACATGAAAAATTTTGATGTCGGACATGTGCCAATAAGGTGAGAGACTTATTTCTGTATGACTAGTAGTGAGGTTCTCTTCACAGTTTACAGCATTTTTATTTTATTTTTTTAAATGTTTTAATATATCTTTTTTGTTGAAAGTATTACAGATGTCCCCCTTTTCCCCCATTGATCCCCTCCACCCTGCACCGCCCCCCCAGCCTTCACCACACTATTGTCTGTGTTTATGGGTTGTGCATATATGCATATAACTTCTTAAGTTAATTTCTCCCCACCCGACCCCACCTTTCCTCTGAAATTCGTCAGTCTGTTCCATGCTTCTATGTCTCTGGATCTATTTTGTTCATCAGTTTATTTTGTTCATTAGATTCCACATATAAGTGAGATAATGTGATACTTGTCTTTCTCTGACTGGCTTATTTCTCTTAGGCATAATACTCTCTAGGTCCCACCATGCTGTCTCAAAGGATAAGGGATCCTTTTTTTTACAGCTGCGTAGTATTCTATGGTGTAAATGTCCGAGAAGATGCTTGATATTTCAGTCTTCTTGAACTTGTAGAGACTTGTTTTGTGTCCTAACATGTGGTCTATCTTTGGGAATGTTCCATGTGCACTTGAGAAGAATGTATATTCTGCCGCTTTGGGGTGAAATGTTCTGTAAATGTCAGTTAAATCCATCTGATCTAGTGTGTCATTTAGACTCACTGTTTCCTTGTTCATTTTTTGTCTGCAAAATCTATCCAGTGAAGTCAGTGGGGTGTTCAGGTTTCTTAGTATGACCGTATTGCTGTAAATCTCTCCCTTAAAGTCCTCCAGAAGTTTTTTTTCCAGCCTGTGTGAATCTTTTGTTCTGAGGTGGGTCTCTTGTAGACAGCATATATTTGGGTCATGTTTTCTTAATTCATTCAGCTCTGTCTTTTGATTGGAGCATTTAATCCATTTATAGTTAAGGTTATTATTGATAGGCACTTACCTATTGCAGTTTTACTTCTTTATGTCTGTGTTTCTATTTCTGCTTGTTAAAGCAGTCCCTCTAACATTTCTTGCAAATATTAAAAAAGTGACAAATATTCACAGTGGTAAATATACAGTTCTATAGCCTAACAATAAATTGTGTGATTTCCATAATACAGCAAAGAGATTAGCCTGTTAAAAATTTTAACTGAGACATCTGTAATATTTTAAACAAAAATAAACACACACACAAAAATTTTAACTGAGATGAAAATGATACAGGTAAGTATTTTATTCAGGTCCAGTTTCTAATAATTGTAATAATTTCAGAGATTATCATTTTGTGGCATTTCTAGATTTTTGTTCTTATATTTGGTAAATTTTACATTTTTATTTACTTTTTAAAAAATCTTTTTCGGTAGGTGGTTAAAAGATAGATATGCACCTACTTTATGTGCAGGTCTTTCAGCTTGATGCACAAAAAATAAAATTCTCACCATTATACTGTTGGTGAGTCTTTACTGGGAATTTCACACATGCATAGACACAAACATGATAGCCTTCAGCTGGCTTCCTATTCAGCTGTCATCTGTAATTAGGTATGGGCTATTATACATTCTGGCTTTTGAATGTGGAAACAGGCAACAAAAGTTTTTTAAATTTTATTACTCAGTAAAGTCACAGCTACACTGTTTTGAGTTTTCCTTAATGTGGAAGTGAGTTTGGTAACTTTTTAGCTAAGTATTAATCTTGGATTTTCTCCTCTTAGGCTTCCAAGATCAAAACACTTGTTAAATGTCATCAATGAAAACTTTGGCACCCTTGCCTTCTGCCGGAGATGGCTGGATCGCTTAGGAGAAAGTAAATACTTGATGGCTCTGAAGAATCTGTGTGACTTGGGCATTGTAGATCCATATCCACCATTATGTGACATTAAAGGATCATATACAGCACAGTTTGAACATACCATACTGTTGCGTCCAACATGTAAAGAAGTTGTCAGCAGAGGAGATGACTATTAAACTTAGTCCAAAGCTACCATAACGTCTTTTATTTTCTAAGCTTTGTTGGAATACATTATACCAGAGTTGATTTGCAACATGTTGTCTAACAGTGGACCTATATAATACTTTTATTCGTGTTTAAAAAGGAAGGAGTTTGATCAAAGGCAAACCATCTAATGTAATTAACCACGGAAAAAGTTTTCAGGACTTTCAAATGTTAACTGTGTTTCTCCTGTCTAAAAAATGCTATAAAGTTCGAATTAGGTAGGAATGACTTAAACATTTTGTTTTGAACACCTAAGAGATGTTTTCAGATATTTATATTGCCATATTCTTATTTGAATGCTTTGAATGACTACATCCAGTTCTGCACCTCTACCTTCTGGTATTGCTTTTTAACCTTCCTGGAATCCATTTTCTAAAAAATAAAGACATTTTCAGACCTAAGAGCTACACTTCACTGTCTGTGGTTATAATTTTGCACAGGAAAAAGCTAAACTTAATGTAGGGAAATGTAGAGCTTTTTATCTGGATTGTAGACCTCTATGCTGAAACTTTTTTTCTGACATAGTGGCTAAACAAGATCTACACGTATAAAGTGGGAGAAGCTTCATAAATTAATACACAGCTTTAGGAATATTTTGCCTTTGTTTTTAGGACCATTATTAGGCCTTTTCATTTTTTTCCCTGACATTTGAAAGATCTATTTCTAACATGACTTAGTAGGAACATTGTATAACTTGAAACCTTGATTTAGTAAAATCTCAGCATTTAGATCCTTTGTCCAGTGTTATATTAGGAAATGTATTCAGCTTGCGCAGTAAACCAAAAAGGTATTTTACACCACAAAAACAGGAAAATTTCCCATGGTTGGGTCTTCTAGTTAGAAAAGTTAGATTCAGTTATTAGGCTTTTTCATTAGTGAACCAAATCCTTTAATGCCCTGTACCTTGCCTGGTTTGGATTTATAACATGGGTGGCATTTCAGAAAGTGAGGCTGTAGTGACTCATTATAGCAGCTAAGTGCATAAGTTGAATGTAAGATGCATAATACTTGAACTGAGCCCCACTAGCGATTCTTGAACAAATTTTGCTTGAATTCTATGTAAATGATTTTTTGGGAATATTTCAACAAAATTTCAAAATAGTTATGTACTAAGGTAAAGCCTTAATTTGTATGTTTAGCATAGTAACATTTATTGCCTCTGGGTTGCAATTTTGTATTTTGTTTAATGTTTTTCTTATAGGAAGAAAAACCTGATTTCTGTACTTAGATCATTTATTATACATTAAAAAGCCGCTTTCAGCATTCAAGCTATAAATGAATGTTATCTTGTGGGATAAACAATCTAGTTTAGCTATATGAGCCATGTTTACTATGGTGCTAATGTTCAGTAGCTACCTTTGAATAAGTTCTCCATTTTCTGTGATGTGCTAGAGGCAGAGCTCACCAGTTCATGCTTAGATATGTTGCAGGGCTTGGGCCCTTCCATCTAGCTCTTTGGAGTTTTGAGTCCATACCATTTTGATGAACTTTGATGGGAGGTATAAAGTATCCTGATTTCCAAGCTCCAGAATTTTAGAATTGGCCCTTTGAGTAATTTTGGAGCTTTGTGAGACCTTTTTAGCAGTAGGGATCTCAAACCATTTATGAGATCCAAGCTCCCTCCCCAAGTAACTGTTGGGAGCAATGGCATCACTTGTATTCCCCTGGAATGGCTGGAAGGGATATGATCTTGTAAATAGGAAAGCTGTCACTTAAGAAAAAACTGTATTGTTTATCTACTAGCCGTGTATCTCTTGAAATCATTTTGTCATGTTTATAATGATGTACCTTATTGGTAATCTATTATTAGTTTGAATGTTTAACAATAGTGCCTTTAGTAAATTATTTTACAACCAAAACATGTTGTTTTTTATTAGATCAATTTAGCAGAATGTAGAAGTCCACGTTGAGATGTACAGTAAGAAATCTAAATTTCTGTGCATTGTCTAGGTTTTAGTTTCATTTTAATAGACTCTTTTTTATAGATCTAATTTAGGTTAGTAGCAAAATTGAGCAAAAGTTGAGTTATCACATACTCCCTTGACCTCATGCACATGGCCTCCTCCCTAGGTATTAGTTTTAAGGGATTAAAGAGGGCTAAGCCACTTTATTTCTATCATATATTACACTGAAGTAAGTACTGAAACAAGCAACTATACCATTATAACATAATTTCCAGAGTTTTAAAAATATCCCACTAAAATTAGGTGGTAAAATGTTTAGCAGTTAAGCATAAAGTAATCCTTGAAATTAGAAAAGACTGTACTTGGGTATCTTGACCACATAAATCTTTAATGAGATAATTACATTAACAGTTGAGGTAACAAATTGCATAGGTATTTAATAAATGAATGATTTTAAACCTTAGCCATTTAACACTCAACTTGTATTTTTGGCATAAAAGATTTGTCTGTTTAGTGATAAATTCTCATTGCACTTCACAAGGATGCCCCAGATGACTTATTCTCTGAAATTTAAGGAAAATTTGCTAATAGAGGTCCTTCTCAAGCTTATACTTACAGATGATGACTAGTGGAGAACAGCATTTAACAGACGCTATCTTGCATTAAGAATTCAACCTGCAAGCAAACCCGCTTAAAGAAATGATCTAGTGGTTAACACTGAGCTAAAGATCTTACAGAGCTGACCAACATGTATTAGTGGATTCTCTTTTCTGAAATGAAGTTAGCCGCAGTAGGATTTTAAAGAGATGTAGCAAGATTACTAGGGAAGAACTAAGTTATACTGTATTTTTAATAAAACACAAGATTAGATAATTCTAAATGTCAGGACCCAATGCTTGAGTATCTGAGAGGCTCCTAGTATTCACATAATTCTAGCAAGAATAAGACAGGCTTTAGTTTAGACAAATGAGATGCATGTTGCCCAGCTGCCAATTTTGAACAGTTATCGTCTCTGCCCTGTAATTTTTTTTCTTCAAGACTTATTGTATTACTTTAAGAATCTCTAGAAATGTGGTACAAAGCTTTAAGAAATTTAATGTTTAGATATAAAATGAACTCAAATCCCAGTTAAACTGTACTTGTATAACAATACACTGTTTGGTAAATTAAAGTTTTTGATATGACTGTTATATTAGAATTAGGACGAACCAGTTTGCTGCCAGACAGATCATCCTAAGTCCCCACCATCATTGTTTTTATGTCCATAGTACTGAAGTCATTTAAGCATACTCTTTATAAAGCTGTTGTTTTCATTTGTATAGTTTGACTATGCCAAATGAATGATTATTAAAAATAAATTTTTGAAAAAATGAAGTTTCTTTTACAACAGTAATGTCTTCTGAGCCCTGTAACACACAAAGCCTCAGGAATATCAACAAGTGTCAATGATGAGTATTTTTTCTCTTTCAAAGTAGTTTAACTTCCTTCAAGTCAGATGAAATAAATGACTTTTTTGGGGTAAGACTAATAGTGAAGAAAGGGTCTATAATTTTCCATCAAATCGGAATTTTTATAGAAAATAGCTACAAAAGATAAATGTAAAATGACACCTGAAGTTCAGTACAAGACTGTACAAATTCATGATCTGAGCCAATTAAAACAAAATATAACAGGTAACACCAGTCTGAGGTAAAGACTGAACGCTTAAAACTCCCAAGTACTTGAAAAAAATTTAGTTACCTGCTGTCATTGGCATACATGTATTTATGCTTTGTCTCTGTAAAAAAAACCTATAGATAAAAAATGTATAAACATAGTGCACTGATTCATAAGCAAAAAAAAACAACAAAAAACCCCTCAAAATTGTAAGCCCTTTGAGAAGATATATATACAAATCCCGAGAAGCCCCACTGTCTTTGGATCAACTAAGCTTCTCATTAGAGGTATCAGCTTTTTCATTAGGAGGTAGGATACCAGACAGGAGTTCTAGAGGCAAGAGTTTAGAATGTCCATTCTCAGTAACTCGCTGGGTATAAAACAAGATATAAGCTTGGGCCTTGCGTACTTCATCCATAGTGCACATGCTTAACTTGGAGTCATTGCAGTGTACCCAGAAGCCTAGAGTAAAGCACAGAAATAAACAATGTTTATAAAGAAACTAGAAATTTCTAGTATAGATTAAAACATGGATTTAGAGTCATTAGTTTCCATGAAAAAGTTTTTTTAAATTTATTTTTCAGTTATAGTTGACATACAATATTGTATTGGTTTCAGGTATACAACATAGTGATTAGACATTTCTATACTTTACAGAGTGATACCCTCGTTTAGTACCCATCTGGCACCATACACGTTACAATATTATTGATCATAATCCCTATGTTGTAATTTACACCCCTGTGACTACTTGTATAACTGGCATTTTGTATTTCATAATCTCTCATCTTTTTCACCCCTCCGCCCTGAACCCCCCCCCCCCCATTTGGGA